CCGAAACGGAACGAAACCCACCGAAACGAAACGAAATCAAGAAGAAACGAAACGAAATCAAAACGAAACCTGCCGAAACGAAACAAAACAAAACTTTCAGAATGTTTATATGGTCTATTTTTACTTCATATGAAATTTATATAGTTCAAGCACCATAGGCAATTGTTTCGCTTCAAGCTCATACATAGGCGTCGGAAGGAAATTGAAAGGGGGGGGGGCTTAACCAACAAAAAAGGCAAACCCCAATTTTCAATGTCTATATAATATATATCTTTGCAAAAAAGTAGGGGGGCCAACACCTAAAACTAGGACCGTATGTACGTAGAAAGGATTCACAAAATTACTGTTGGAGTTATATATGGGGCGCCGTTTTGATATTTACTGGCAAAAAGTGATATCACCTATTCAAATAGGTGATATCACCTTTGTTACATGTATAATTGAAGGATAAAACCAGACACCTCGGAATGGAATACTAAATACTCTTAAGTCTCTGGTATATCGTATGTTTTAAGACATTCGCAATACAACAGCATAGGCGTCGGAACCGGGGTAAGCCCCCCCCCCCCCGCCTTTTTTCCCAACGATACACCTAGTATATATACTAAACATCGCTGCGTCGGTTTCGTCGCCCCCCCCCCCCCCCACTTTCCACGGAAAGGTTGTAGTTTAGGTTAAAATAATAAGGAAAGTGGTGTTGTTTGGAAAAATTTTGCTAATGAAGTTCAACCCCCGTCCCCCCCACGAAATAAGCTTTTCGTGTTTGGACGGACATTTCCTCTTTTTTTTTTTTTTTTTTGCTCGTCAGGTGTTTTGTTTTTAAGGTATAAATTTTTTTTCTTATACTTAACCCTCCACTTTCAATTTGCTTTCGACGAAAATGAATAGTACAGTGACTTTACTTCGACCCGTACATAAACAAGCCTTTACATGTAACACATCAATTTTGATAGATATAGTGTATATAGATAAATAAGGACTGAAAATAAGAGTAAGGTATAAAAATTTGAAAATACTGCACATATTGAAACGATACATGCGTAGTACGCTCGTGCATATTTGCAGCTGGCAAACATGTAAATACATCATTAGACTGAGAAGGGATCATAATTTATTATACCCCCGCTTGAAAAGCGGGAGGGTATATAGTAATCGTTAATTCCGTCCGTCTGTACGTCCGTCCGTCCGTCTGTCCGGACGTCTGTCCGTCCGTCCGTCTGTTACGCTTTGGGGTACCCATCTCTTATCCGCAACTCCTCTCTTACCACTGAATGAAATTTGATGAAACTTTCAGAGAATCTTTATTTCATATTGCCATTGTGCACCTCCTATTTTACTTTTTGATCCGACACATATTTTGGGTTTCCCGGCCACAAGAAAACATGGATTTTTTCACCAGTTATAACCATATGGGAGGCGGGGGGTATCATTTAGTGAGCTCATCGCTCACAGTACCTCTAGTTGGTAATTAAATCTTATATCAACAAGTGCTTGAACTTTATATATTTTATTTAAAGTAAAAAAAAAATGTCCATATAAAGTTACACATATATAATAATATACACGTACCTTGATTTGAAAAAAAAAATATAGTTTCGTTTCGTTTCGGCAGGTTTCGTTTTGATTTCGTTTCGTCTTGATTTCTTTTCGTTTCGGTAGGTTTCGTTTCGTTTCGGTAAGTTTCGTTTCGTTTCGGTAGATTTCGTTTCGTTTCGGCAGATTTCGTTTCGTTTCAGTTCGTTTCGTTTCGTTTCTATTTCGTTTCGCACTTTACAGGTACCTGACCTAAACATACATGAAGCCATAGCAAGAAGCAGTGAAAGCCACACGCAGAGATTGGATGGAGCATAATTTTTTTCTATGCCTCGGCGCCTCTATGGATGTCATATTTAGATCAGGTATTTAATACAGAACACTACATAACACAGACTAATGTCTAAACAAAGACACTATTGACTATTTTTTTTCAAATTAAAAAAGGGGAAAGTCAAGAAAAATTGATAGCAAACATACAGGCTGACTGCTAGTAAAAGTTGCATCAGTCCTGCTAAAAATTTACCAGCCTGAGAAAATAATTGTCTTTAGTAAAATTGATTTTTGAAACTAGAGGTACTGTGAGCAATGAGTAAATGATAACACCCCCCCCCACCTCCCATATGAATATTATATGTGTCCATGTTTTGCTGTAGGAAAGTATTATATTAATAATGCCATACTTTCATACAATACCATTATTTTTTTGCCTAATTTTACTCTTTAACACACAAAATCTCAGGAGCTTATGGGGTTTGCCCCCTGGACCCCCTTTTCATTCAAACTATGGTATGACTAACATATGACTGTACTTTGGAACATCACGATCTAGACCCCTTGCCTGAACAAATTTATACACGCCCCCCCCCCCCCTCTCCCCCTTTGAATCACAAATCCTGTACTGTTCATGATACCATTAGTTGATTCGGATGCGATTAATCAAATTAATAAAATTTAATTAATGAAAACTTTAAACAAGTCCAGCTGGGCATCGATATGTGCAAATTGGTAAGCCCACAGCAAAATTTGTGCGTATCGGGCGGTCAGGCGCACTGTTATTTCAAACACTGTTTTTGGAATGGCAAATGGGTCCTTCTTAAAATCCTGAATATTTAATTAAGCCCTGAAAGAAGCCAATTTGTTATGGCAAAACCATAATTACTATTTCTCTTATTCATTTAATCAAAATGTAAAATTGCCCTTTCAAACTCTATATTTCCAAACGATCAAATGATATTCTTCAAATGCATTTCCTTTTATTTGAATTATAAATAAGGGTGAGGAGTCCTATAAAATTTAATTGACAAGCAAAAAAACCAATAAAATACTGCTATGGTTTTATCAGTTGAAACGGGGGGAGAGGGTGTTTACCTCCCCGAAAAATTTGAATAAAGACTTAAAACCCTATCCCAATGGGGGAGGGGGGGGGCTTCCCAAATATTCCTACAAGCAAATATATACACACATAGGAAGAGAGATATTTAGATATTTTACCTCTAGTTGGTAATTAAATCTTATATCAACAAGTGCTTGAACTTTATATATTTCATTTAAAATAAAAAAAAATGTCCATATAAAATTACACATATATAATAATATACACGTACCTTGATTTGAAAAAAAAAAATATAGTTTCGTTTCGTTTCGGCAGGTTTCGTTTTGATTTCGTTTCGTCTTGATTTCTTTTCGTTTCGGTAGGTTTCGTTTCGTTTCGGTAAGTTTCGTTTCGTTTCGGTAGATTTCGTTTCGTTTCGGCAGATTTCGTTTCGTTTCAGTTCGTTTCGTTTCGTTTCTATTTCGTTTCGCACTTTACAGGTACCCGACCTAAAAATAACTTAAGTCATAGCAAGAAGCAGTGAAAGCCACACGCAGAGATTGGATGGAGCATAATTTTTTTCTATGCCTCGGCGCCTCTATGGATGTCATATTTAGATCAGGTATTTAATACAGAACACTACATAACACAGACTAATGTCTAAACAAAGACACTATTGACTATTTTTTTTCAAATTAAAAAAGGGGAAAGTCAAGAAAAATTGATAGCAAACATACAGGCTGACTGCTAGTAAAAGTTGCCAGTCCTGCTAAAAATTTACCAGCCTGAGAAAATAATTGTCTTTAGTAAAATTGATTTTTGAAACTAGAGGTACTGTGAGCAATGAGTAAATGATAACACCCCCCCCCCCCACCTCCCATATGAATATTATATGTGTCCATGTTTTGCTGTAGGAAAGTATTATATTAATAATGCCATACTTTCATACAATACCATTATTTTTTTGCCTAATTTTACTCTTTAACACACAAAATCTCAGGAGCTTATGGGGCTTTGCCCCCTGGACCCCCTTTTCATTCAAACTATGGTATGACTAACATATGACTGTACTTTGGAACATCACGATCTAGACCCCTTGCCTGAACAAATTTATACACGCCCCCCCCCCCCCCTCCCCCCTTTGAATCACAAATCCTGTACTGTTCATGATACCATTAGTTGATTCGGATGCGATTAATCAAATTAATAAAATTTAATTAATGAAAACTTTAAACAAGTCCAGCTGGGCATCGATATGTGCAAATTGGTAAGCCCACAGCAAAATTTGTGCGTATCGGGCGGTCAGGCGCACTGTTATTTCAAACACTGTTTTTGGAATGGCAAATGGGTCCTTCTTAAAATCCTGAATATTTAATTAAGCCCTGAAAGAAGCCAATTTGTTATGGCAAAACCATAATTACTATTTCTCTTATTCATTTAATCAAAATGTAAAATTGCCCTTTCAAACTCTATATTTCCAAACGATCAAATGATATTCTTCAAATGCATTTCCTTTTATTTGAATTATAAATAAGGGTGAGGAGTCCTATAAAATTTAATTGACAAGCAAAAAAAACCAATAAAATACTGCTATGGTTTTATCAGTTGAAACGGGGGGAGAGGGTGTTTACCTCCCCGAAAAATTTGAATAAAGACTTAAAACCCTATCCCAATGGGGGAGGGGGGGGGGCTTCCCAAATATTCCTACAAGCAAATATATACACACATAGGAAGAGAGATATTTAGATATTTTACCTCTAGTTGGTAATTAAATCTTATATCAACAAGTGCTTGAACTTTATATATTTCATTTAAAATAAAAAAAAATGTCCATATAAAATTACACATATATAATAATATACACGTACCTTGATTTGAAAAAAAAAAAATATAGTTTCGTTTCGTTTCGGCAGGTTTCGTTTTGATTTCGTTTCGTCTTGATTTCTTTTCGTTTCGGTAGGTTTCGTTTCGTTTCGGTAAGTTTCGTTTCGTTTCGGTAGATTTCGTTTCGTTTCGGCAGATTTCGTTTCGTTTCAGTTCGTTTCGTTTCGTTTCTATTTCGTTTCGCACTTTACAGGTACCCGACCTAAACATACATGAAGTCATAGCAAGAAGCAGTGAAAGCCACACGCAGAGATTGGATGGAGCATAATTTTTTTCTATGCCTCGGCGCCTCTATGGATGTCATATTTAGATCAGGTATTTAATACAGAACACTACATAACACAGACTAATGTCTAAACAAAGACACTATTGACTATTTTTTTTCAAATTAAAAAAGGGGAAAGTCAAGAAAAATTGATAGCAAACATACAGGCTGACTGCTAGTAAAAGTTGCCAGTCCTGCTAAAAATTTACCAGCCTGAGAAAATAATTGTCTTTAGTAAAATTGATTTTTGAAACTAGAGGTACTGTGAGCAATGAGTAAATGATAACACCCCCCCCCCACCTCCCATATGAATATAATATGTGTCCATGTTTTGCTGTAGGAAAGTATTATATTAATAATGCCATACTTTCATACAATACCATTATTTTTTTTGCCTAATTTTACTCTTTAACACGCAAAATCTCAGGAGCTTATGGGGCTTTGCCCCCTGGACCCCCTTTTCATTCAAACTATGGTATGACTAACATATGACTGTACTTTGGAACATCACGATCTAGACCCCTTGCCTGAACAAATTTATACACCCCCCCCCCTCCCCCCTTTGAATCACAAATCCTGTACTGTTCATGATACCATTAGTTGATTCGGATGCGATTAATCAAATTAATAAAATTTAATTAATGAAAACTTTAAACAAGTCCAGCTGGGCATCGATATGTGCAAATTGGTAAGCCCACAGCAAAATTTGTGCGTATCGGGCGGTCAGGCGCACTGTTATTTCAAACACTGTTTTTGGAATGGCCAATGGGTCCTTCTTAAAATCCTGAATATTTAATTAAGCCCTGAAAGAAGCCAATTTGTTATGGCAAAACCATAATTACTATTTCTCTTATTCATTTAATCAAAATGTAAAATTGCCCTTTCAAACTCTATATTTCCAAACGATCAAATGATATTCTTCAAATGCATTTCCTTTTATTTGAATTATAAATAAGGGTGAGGAGTCCTATAAAATTTAATTGACAAGCAAAAAAAACCAATAAAATACTGCTATGGTTTTATCAGTTGAAACGGGGGAGAGGGTGTTTACCTCCCCGAAAAATTTGAATAAAGACTTAAAACCCTATCCCAATGGGGGAGGGGGGGGGCTTCCCAAATATTCCTACAAGCAAATATATACACACATAGAAAGAGAGATATTTATAAATATAAGAGCTCATACAATATGCATGGGTTTCTGCCAATGTTTTCATCTAATTTAGGTTTGAAACTTAAAAAATAAAATTTGATCCTACAAAACTATAACTCTTTTTCAATTTATAACTGATAGTATGAATTCATGATGATATCACTAGTACATGGGGGAGGGGGGAAGGTAAATAAATATTTAATTATCAATAATTCAAAAGCTAAATTGTTATATAAATGTATCCATTCTCTTGTCATACGATGAATTTCTTGATTTGTTATCATTTCAGATGCAGTCTGAGCCTTGTTCTGAATTTCAAAATCCCCTTTGACAACACCTGCACAGCTGAGGTAATGTAAACTTAAAAATTGAGGACCAAAGTCACCAAGAAAAGATGATCAATTCAACTAACGTTAGTGTTATATATACATTATATTATTTATGTATCATTAGCTAATTCGGTATTTTGTGTTGACAACTTGCAGTTTTTTAAAATTATCATTAAGAACATTCCTTTTCGTTTAGAAATCAAGGACCTTCTGACCAAGGGCTGAATTATAGTGAACACTGCCATTCAGAGACTTTGAAACAGGTATTTCTTCTGCTTTTGATGCTCTGAAGTTTTTAGCTCACCTGAGTCGAAGACTCAAGTGATCTTTTCTGATCAAAGTTTGTCTTTTGTCTGTCATTGTCATTCTTCAAGGGGAGAGAATTACAAAAATAATAGCATTACTGATATCTTCTCAAGAATCAATGGCCCAGGAAATATGAAACTTATGTGGAACCATTGTCGAGTAGTGTAGATTCAAATTTTTCAAAAGCATGAACCCCAGTTGTAGGACGGGGCCATTAGGATGATCAAAGTTTAACATAGGAATATATAAAAAAAAATATTTTAAAATCTTCTTTTAGGATAAAGCAGGCCTTGATTGGTAATATTTATATGAAAGCATTTTCAGGTGGTGTAGATTCAAGTTTGATCAAATCATGACACTTGGGATAGGATGGGACCACAAAGGCCAATCAAAGTTTAACATAAGAATATAGAGAAATAAATCCTTTAAAAATATTCTTCTAAAGAACAGAAAAGCCAGTAAGTTATTGTAATATACATATGGAAGCATTTTCTTGTAGTGTAGATTTGTTCAAATCATGACACCCCCCCCCCCTGTATAGGGTGGGGCCACAATAAAAGTTCAAACTTGTAGGGAAAAACTCGGTTAGTCAAAAATAAGTACCCCATAAGCATCCTTAGTGTAGATTCAGTTATGTTCAATCATACCCTCTCCCCTCTTCCTCCCTTACAGGCAGAGGTCAGGACCAAATATGCTTTTATGCTTTTCAAAACAAAGCTGATTTTTGATTTTTATCCAAACCAGGTGAGTGATGTGGCCCTGGGTCTCTTGTTAAATCATTTATCTACACATATGTACAATACAACTCGGTTATAACAAACTAGGACCTGTAAAAGTACTTCGCTATATCGATAATTAGTTATATCCATATTTGTAATTTTTAATATTTATATAGTTGGGGATCCAAGAGGACTTCACTATATCTGTGAATTCACAATGTCTGTGTTTGTACTAAACAAGTTTTACTGCAGTTACATGTATGTGGAAGCCAAATAGGAGTAAAAGATGTATTATTATAAATGTAACACAGTATCATCTTTATTTTGTTAAATCCATACAAATGTTTCTTTGAATATTGGAACCTAAAATCAGTAGAAAGTTAGAAAGTAAAATTTATAAAATGCAGCATATCTAAACAGAATTTTTGTTGTTGAAAAAAACCCTTTTCAGATGAGCAAGGCTGTAATAGTCCTACTAATATTTAGAATCAAATAACAGCTAACTACTTGAGGCAAGGATAGGATGAGGGTTAAAAAAGGGGTTACATTACTTGAAAATTTAGAGAAGAATTGTAGAGCTGAGGTTTTTCTCAAAAACCACAGGGACAATTTTTACCAAACTTGGCAGGGCTAAGACCCTTCACAAGGGGTGATAATCAAGAAAAGAGAAAAATGGGGAGCCACTGGGTCAAAAAAGCTGAAACTTATGTTAAAGCATCCAAGGATTAAGTGTACATTCTAAATTGTTTAAATCATGTCCTCCTCCCCCTAAGAAAAGGCCTAAACCACAAAAGGTATTACGGTACAAGTAGGAAAATCTGGTGTAGAACAGAATGGCCAGTTACTCTGGTGAGTGTTATGGACCATGGTCTTCTTGTATTCATGATCATGATCATAGAGAAAAGGAACCTTAGCTACTCTCTTCCTTCAACAGCAACAAGAATAAATTGCTTTATGGAATGCCCATTTTCATTAACAAAGTTCAAATTTTGAATTATATTTTTCCAGATTGATGAATCAACTACATGCATTATGTCAGAGGAATCTAGCTGGAGCACCTATTTAGCAGCCAGGACACATAGATGTACCTGTACAGTTGATACAGATAATCTCAATGGCACATTTCTAAATGATGGCCAAAAAAATCTAATAAAGACACTGTCAGTTTAAAACTCTTTGAAAAAAAAGAAATCCAGACCAGAAACAAAGGATATTGATTTTTAAGCCCCTCCAAATCTAAAAGGGGTTTTATTGAAGGATACACCCAAGGATGTTGGATATTACACCCCTTCAACATAAAATTTTGAATTTTAGTTTGCCTATCTAGTCAAGAACATGGATTTTTTGACTTTTGATACACTTATTAATGTTATATTGACATTTTTTTCAAGATTTCTTTACTGTAAACTAATATGGGTTAAGTGTACATTAAAAAAAGTACATTTACAGATGATTTTTCAAAATTGCTTTGAATACAATTGAAATATTTAGATCATGTCTCATAAATGGTTAATCACAGTTACCACAGAAACCAAATATTTGTTTAAAAAAAGTTTTAGGTACCAAAAAAATGTTGTGTCTTTCAATATCTTAGCTAATGGCCACTCATACATTTTTCTTCATATAAGGGAATCTCATTGGCTAAAGTGTATAGGCAAATACAATATTTTTATACCCGCACTTTCTAAAGAAAGTTCGGGTATATTGTTGTTACTCATGTCCGTCCGTCCGTCCGTCCGTCTGTCACACTTTTCTTCCCTGAACTCCTCCTACATTTTACACAGTAGCTTAATCATCTTTTAAGAGATGGTTGGTGGTGTCATGTAGATGTGCAGTAAGGTTTCGGAATTTTGATTTTGCCCCGGGGGGTCAAATGTGGGTCGAAAAATGACGTTTTTTGTGCAAAAAGTCCCTTCTTCCCTGAACTCCTTCTACATTTTACTCAGCAGCCAAATCACCTTTTGGGGGATGATTGCTGGTGTCATGTAGATGTGCAGTAAGGTTTCGGAATTTTGATTTTGCCCCGGGGGATCAAATGGGGGTCGAAAAATGACGTTTTTTATGCAAAAAGCCCCATCTTCCCTGAACTCCTCTTACATTTTACTTAGCAGCCTAATCATCTTTTGTGGGATGATTAGTGGTGTCATGTA